CAGCCGGCTGTCGACCAACACCCCCAAGTTCTTTTCCGCCAGCTGGTTTTCCAGCCACTCTTCCCCAAGCCTGTAGCGTTGCATGGGGTTGTTGTGACCCAAGTGCAGGACCCAACACTTGGCCTTGTTAAACCTCATACAATTGTCCTTGGCCCATTGATCCAGCCTGTCCAGATCCCTCTGCAGAGCCTTCCTACCCTCGAGCAGATCAACACTCCACCCAACTTGGTGTCATCTGCAAACTTACTGAGGGTGCACTTGATCCCCTCGTCCAGATCATGGGAGCGGTGGAGAGAAAGATTCGTAGGTCTGAGTGCCAGTGGTCTTGGAGAACAAATAAATGGAACGCTGTACTACGAGCGGAGTGGATGGCAGAGTATTCTTTTGGATGCAGGCTATAGGCATCTACCAGTCAGTTTCAGACAGAAGCATCCTTTGTGGTTAGCTGGAAGGCCAGAAAATTCCAACCATCCAAGTCCTATATGTAGAAGATTCTTAATAGCACATATTATTTGCTGAACTAATGCTTACCTTGGTTTTTTTTGGCTTTAAATCATGAGATAACTTTTTACAGGAAAAACAAGGTAGCATCAGTTCAGTAGTTAATCTGCAAGTCATCTCTTACCTGATTATATTAATCTCATGACTTTTGATTCAAAGCAGTCTTAAGCCAGGCTCTGGTTCATGCCATATTTTCTGCTCTTTAATTTGTTCCAAGTATTTCCAAATGACAGGAGCCACCAGTATTGAACCAGTGTTGACTTCTAATGAATATTCTTGTTGGATATATTAGGATAAAGCTGTGGCTGAACCAGTAAGTCGACTGCTGGAATCAACCCTGAGAAGCACCCATATGCCAAGTCGGATTGGAGCTCTGCATGGAATTCTTTATATCCTTGAGTGTGACTTGCTTGATGAGACAGCGAAGCAACTCATTCCAATTATCAGCGAGTATCTGCTCTCCAATTTGAGAGGAGTAGCACAGTAAGAGTCTTCCTCCCTCCCCTCCCCCCCCGTCCCGAACTGCTGCATGCTTATGTGTGAACAAAAGGGCTCTTTATGGTTTGCTGTTGTCAGTATATTTTAGAGCATGCGTTTGTATCAAGCAGGTTTTGGCATTTTCATTGAAAATACCAGCCAATTTTAGCTTTGATTTACAGAAGCGAAACTATATTTGAGGGTGAGAAAACTGTTTGATAGCTCAGAACTTCATCTCTTTGGTAACGTGTGTTCCCTAAACCTTATTTTTCTGTCAAAAGGTATACTCTTTGAATAAGACTTGCAGGATCAATAATGAAGTTTATTTCTCCTAAACAAGTCAGGCAATGATTATCTTGTAATTATATTGCTGAAAAATGTCTTGTGTTGCACTGGATTTCTATGATAACCAGCGCTGTCTTATGGTATCTTGGTGATACTTAATGTGATTTTTAAAATTGCATAAATTTTATGTGAAAAAATACTTAGTGTTTCTAAGGATTGTTTATATTGTCTCTGTTTGTGACCTAGACAACTTTGATATAAGTGACCACTAGTGTTTTTGCTTATTTACAGTTGTGTGAATATCCATAACCAACAGCACATCTTGGTAATGTGTGCAGCTGCTTTCTATTTGATTGAGAATTACCCACTTGATGTAGGGCCCGAATTCTCTGCAGGAATTATACAGGTATGTTGTGATGCCTCCAGTCACTGGTGGACATGTAATCTGGGATCACCACATAGCTGTCTTCAACACTTAACTTGATTATTGTGGTGTAGATATGCTTTTGGGTTTAGTTTCATCAGGTTTTCTTAATACCTGATGCGGTTCCATACTCGCTGCAGTGGTATGGTGCTAGAAGATGAGCTAAATACACCTCAAAAACAGGTTAATTGGCTTTTTTCTCTATTTTAGATGTGTGGAGCCATGGTATCTGGAAGTGATGAATCAACACCATCCATTATTTATCATTGTGTCCTGAGAGGATTAGAACGACTCCTTCTTTCAGAGCAACTTTCTAGGCTGGATAGTGAATCGCTAGTTAAACTGAGTGTTGACAGAGTGAACGTGCAGAGCCCCCATAGAGCAATGGCAGCACTTGGATTAATGCTGACTTGCATGTACACAGGTATTTACTTTTTTTATACCTTTGATGCGCTAAGAGACTAGCTTACTAACAGCGCTAATTTTCTTCATTTATTTTTGTTACCAAGGATAAAAAGGTCTTATTTTAGCATTCACAGTAAACTTACAACAAATTATTTTGGTTTAGGAAAGGAAAAAATCAGCCCCAGTCGTCCCACAGATGCAAATCCTGCTGCTCCCGACAGTGAATCTGTGATCGTAGCTATGGAACGAGTATCTGTCCTTTTTGATAGGTAAGAGGATAAAATGGTATAATGGGGCATTGGGAGGGAAACAATTCTGTTTGGCACTGTGTGGTCACTTCTCTATTTGACAGTTCTAATACTTAATTAATGATGCTTCTCTGCATACCATTGCTTAAAATTGATACTTCTAGTATACACAGTAACACTGATGGAATTGCTGAAGGCAGCACAAATGTACAGGAATGTAAATGGAAAACAGACATGTCCTAACTGATACTGTGTGTTGCACAAACCATAATACTTTATAAATGTATTTCCAGCTCCCTTCAGGTCAAACTCTTAAGTGCTTTTCAGGATGTCTTCTGCATAATCAAGGATATAAATCCAGTTTATGGGAAATAATCTTTCAAACCACCCTAAGAGTTTAAAACCTTTTTCCCCTTCCCCCACCCAAGTGTTGCTCTTTCCAAGGCTGTTAAGTAATTGCAGTGGAAGGGTACAGTAAAACTTCTGTATTCACATGGAACTCATTTAATGGAAATATTTCAAAACCCCTGTTTTGATCTGACAATCTCAAGCTGTCTTAAGTGAGCATAGCATATTAGATTTTGCATAGTAGTTTGTGGGATAATGGTTGACATTTTTTGAAGCGTTCAGTGGTTCTTCCATGAAACTGGATGAGGGTTTCACTTCTGCGCTCAGTGAGAACAGAACTAGAGCAGTGCTTGAGTGCTTTTGAAAATATCACTCCTAAGAGTTAGCAAAACAAACATTAATACTACAAGCAGAAAATAACGTTAGCAGGGAATAATCACATGATGGTAACTTGATCTTGACACATCAACAGATGCAGCCTTTCTTAGGAAGATTTTCCAAACAGTGTTATTTAAGTAAAATTGTCTTTAAGTTGGAGTATCTTTTCCCCTCTTTACAGTGCAGCACAACTTGCTTTTCCTGTTCGATATATTGATCATCCTGGTCTTGAATAAAAAAATGCAAAGATGTTATGAATGGAAATGAGTGTTCTGCTTATAAATGGTCTTTCCTCTGATAACTAGGATAGCAATCTCCCTGTCCTTTTTTGTTCTTGTTTAGTTTTTTCAGCATTCCTATTATTAAATCTTGTCTCTGATGCAATGTTGACTATTAAAAAAAAAAAGGGGGGGGATGGAGGAGGTCACGGGGGAGGTTCACCTGTAACAACTTCTAATAGCTTTGATAGACCATTTTGGGTAGGCTGTTGGAGTAAGACTGGGATTCTTCAGTGTTGAAGACTTCTTTGCCTATCTAGAGATGAAAGTAAAATGTTCTTTCTATTGCCAATTAAATTGAAAAAGAATGAGATATTTACTGGAATTCAATCATAAAATATGTTCTTTTTTATTATTTTCAGGATCAGGAAGGGATTTCCTTTTGAAGCTAGAGTAGTGGCTCGGATCCTTCCACAGTTCCTTGATGATTTTTTCCCCCCACAAGATGTAATGAATAAAGTTATTGGAGAATTTTTATCCAATCAGCAGCCTTACCCGCAATTCATGGCAACAGTAGTTTATAAGGTAGTGGGTTTTTTTTTTCTTAAATATTTCAGAAGACTTCTAAATAACCGACAGCTCAATTAGAGGGGCAAATATCAATTTTGTTAAATCTAGCAAACCAGTTGCAGTGATTGAGCTGTACTGCTGTGAGCTTTGTCTTCCGGGCAACATGGTGGGCTAGAATCACCATGTCGCCTGGAAGACAAAGCTCACAGCACTATAGTTCAATCACTGATAATGGGGAAATAAAGAGAAAATTAGTAGTTGTGATCCTGATGCTCAGACTCTTTAGATCTCAAGGAGCCAGCCCAGGTCATCTGGCCTTGTGAACTCTACAGTCAAGCTCCTGTGGACTCAGTTGGGCTTCTGGGTATTTTGCTCTTCAGCACCTACTTACTGGAGTCATGCATCACTTGAAAGTACATGTGCACACCACATTTGATGTGTAAAAATAGAGACACCAGACAAGTCTTGCATTTCTGCATGCTTATTTCAGTTTGGCATAGATGTCATGAGTTCAGTTGGATCCTGGCTGACTCTTTTGCGGAATCTCTTTGTCTAGGCATTGTGTTCATTAATTGATTAGACTCAGAGTTGTCTCCAGGAATACGGTTTGTGAACCTCAGAGCTTTGTAGCTGGGGGGAACCTTTACAAGAGAAACTAAAAAAACATCTACCATGTCTTTATTCCTGTGTAAAATATTTTTTTGCAGGTGTTCCAGACACTACATAGCACTGGACAGTCCTCAATGGTCCGTGACTGGGTGATGCTGTCTCTTTCTAATTTCACACAAAGAACACCTGTGGCAATGGCAATGTGGAGTCTTTCCTGTTTTTTTGTCAGTGCTTCCACCAGTCAATGGATTTCAGCAATGTATCCTAAAAAGACTGAATGTGTGCCATTTCTGGGTAAATACAGTGATTCTGTAAAGCACATTGATAGCCTTGAAGGATAAGAGTACAAGTTTAACACACAAAAAGAGGCAGATTTACTGCAGTTAGTAGTGGTGTATGTCATCACTTTGTGCTATTGGTGCCTCAGGTTTGAGGTGAAAAATGAGAACTTCTAAACAGATTGAGAATGAAGTTACCTAAAACTACTGTTTTAAGGTTTTAAGGTTCCTTGTGACTATGCAAGATGATTGGGAAAGTCCTTACTTTGAAGGACCGTTTTCAAAGCTTCACCAGATAGCTTTGCAGTGACCTTTAAAAGCTTTGTTCTATATTCCTTCTGCAAGATAAAATATATTTTAAAAAAAAAAAAAAAAAGAGAGAGAACAAATACAAATTAAAGAAAATTGTCCTCTGCATACAAACTGTATTTTGCAATTGTGCCCCCGGAGATGCACTGCAGTAATAGTGAGCTTTGGCAATGGAATTACATTCAGCCAAAGAAGTTGTAACAGCCAAAAGACATAGGTGGAATCAATGCTGGGTTTATTTAAAAACAAACAAACAAACCCAAACAAACAGAGAGATAACTGTTGCTTTTCATGAGCGGGCAAAAAAGTGGCCCTATGTCACGTTGGAACTTCCTAATGACTCTTAATCTCAGCAATGCTCTTTGACTATCAGCAGTCGCGACTGTGGTGCTGATTGCACTGCTTGCTGCAGTGGATAAAGAAAACTACTGCTAGGTTAAAATGAATTTCTGGGGATAAGAAATTGCATGAAGTTAATGAAGAAATAGAATTTCTGTATTTTCAGTTTAATTGATACATGACAGTATTTTGCACTTTAACATTGTTAGTGAACTCAAAAATACACCATTTTATTGGAGAACAGTGTTTAAAGTGCTATACCAAAAGATGACCAACTTCTGTCATATTATGACCTTAACTTTATATTTCAGTCTTCCACATATTATCAGCAGAATGGGAAAATCTGAGCAAGTGGATGTTAACATCTTCTGTTTGGTGGCCATAGACTTTTACCGACATCAGATAGATGAAGAATTAGATCGGAGGGCCTTTCAGTCAGTGTTTGAGGTGGTAGCATCTCCAGGAACCCCATATCATCGCCTACTAACTTGTTTGCAAAATGTCCACAAGGTCACAGCATGTTGAACATCCTGATGTGTAATGGAATTGCATGACTAGTGTTGGAATCTGATACGAATTATGGGGAATGCAAGATGAAGAAAGTATCTGGGGTTGCATTTGTGATCAGTATGGACCTGCCAGTTTTACTTCCAGAATGCATGGACAAGTGCTCTGCAGCACTGGAAATCACCTGAAAAGTCTACTGTAGTTCTTGTGGTTGTTGACACCAGGCACATGTGAGGGGGAAGAAATATGTCAACGTTTTTCAAGTGGTGTTTGGGACTAACCTGAGACACATTTACTAACTGTAAAATATGAGCAAGTACTACAATGCAAGATAACTGGTATTACTCTTCTTCCTAATGTTCAGCTGAAGCCACTGTGTTGCAGCCGGTAAGAAACTCACAGAAAGACTGTTATTGCAAGCTGCCGTCATTAGAAAATGTCATAGTTTTATGTACCTGTATATACTGTTGTGTAGTACAGAATAGAATTTGTTTCCTAATGTCTCTCCCAAACAAGGAATGACCTACACTTCCAGCATGTAATTCCTCTCTGGACTTTCTGATATCCTGTGGTGTATGTGTTGGTGATATCGGAGATATAGTGCACATACATAACCACACATTTTTCTTTTTTCTTCTCAGGATTTAAAATTTGAGTACAGTATATCAGTAAAAGAAATTTTAACTTAAATATTTCTATATCATGTACAGTATGTAAAATTGTAAGATGTGTGGTGCATGAGCTGTGCTGTAATTTGAGATGAACAGAAGCCACGCTACTGAATGTCTTGACACCTGTATTGTCTTCATTTTTTTTTCCCTTGTGCTCGAATTCATGTTCCTTTTGGAAATCCCATCTTAATGTACAGATTACATCTTGTTTTGCATCTCACTTTTTCTTAAAGTGCTTTAAAACTGGAATATGTTGATTAATTTGCCCTGAGAGACTGTACTAAGGAGGCATTCTTGTGATCCACTTTACTGTAGCTTCTTTTGAATTCCTTTATTTTGAGACATAACAGTAAAAGAGAGGACTAGTTACTCTGGATCAGCCTTTTGTATACTTAAGAAACTGCTCTTATTTGCTGCACAGCATTTTAAGAGACAAAATGGTGCAAGCTCCCCAGTAGTCAATAATCATCTGACCTTTCCTAACTGAGACCATGGAGTCATCTGGATTCAAACCACTCTCATTTAAAAAAAATTATGCTAGCAGTTAAGAATCAGAAGGCTGCTGTGGTCTACTTTGGGACTGGCTAAGGTGTTAGATTACACAACCTCTTTTATTCCCTGTTGTATACTTAATGCGTTAAACACAAACACAATACAAATATCCATGAATTTTAGGACACTACACAGGGCCAGATTTAGCTTTTATTCACCACCCAGGGAACCCCATTGATTCCGAAGCATTACATGGGGAAATCTAGCGCAGCATTTGTCTTTAGTTGTATTTGTTATAATTCTTTAATTATAGAGAAATGATACCTGAGTTCTCAGTCACATCCTATATTTAACCTCTCTTCATTTTCTTTTTACACCTTTTGGTGACACTTAGAAAAATGAGATAGTGTTGTCAGGAGGAGCATGTACTGTATGTATTTCTGTATATAATGTATATGTTGAAATTATACACATGTGACATCATGTGACATTTAATGTATACAGATGTGTATATTTGTATTTATTAAACCCATGTATTCAAACTAATTCCAATCTAGACCAAAAATTGTTGCTTCTGCCCATAAATTGATTACAAAGGAATTGTCCGCTGGTGTCAACTTCCTTTTAGAAACTGATAGAGGAAACTGATAGTATGGGCAGTAGAAACAACTGTAGATGTTGCTGTATTTAGCTCTCTACAGATCTTACTATCTAGAGCAATTATTTCTGCCCTTAGATGGGTTACTCTTCTTTCTTGGGCCACAGCACTGTGGTGATTTTTAAAAGAAACTGAACAGGAGTTCAGAAAAAGGTTTAATAAAATAGATACTGTTTGAAAGTTTTTGAGTTATATTGGAAATTATCTTAATTCTGATAAGAGACTAATTCAAGGCAGTGAGATATAATGCCCTGTGTTTTCATTAAGGGTAGTATAGATCACTCTTCCCTTTTGTAACCACCAATAATCGTTTTGTACTGTAAACCCACACACCAGTCAGTTTTTGTATGATATATAGTTTAAGTGAAGATATTTTTGTAAGCTATTTTCCAAAATTTAAAATAGATTTTAATATATTTTTTAAGCATCAGGTTAGTCATATTCTCACCATATAATAGTATATGTTGTGTTACAAACTGTTAAATTCTTCATCATTTTAAGCTCCTCATGATTAACACAGAATAGCTGGTTACTTTACCTTGGGATAACGGGAGCTAGACCCTTTATGAAACTTTCCAAACCAATTTGGGACTTGCCGTAGAATCTTTCCGACCAGGAATACATTGACTTAAGCAGTCAGCATGGCTGGATGAAAAACACCAGATGACAGACCCCTTTTCCTCAAATGCCCGTTGCTGGCCTTCAAGCAAGTATTTGCATTACCCGTTTCAAGTCAAGCTTTAGAGCTGATGCAGTTAGTTCTAACCTCACACAGATTCACTGGTAGTAATAACTCCATCTGTTTTAACCTCCCTTGGAGATCTGTCGTAGTATACCTCATGAAACGTGTCCGAAGTGTCTAAAGAAGGGCACCTCCTCTTAGGAAATTCTCAGTGACCTGAAGGGAATGTAACTTAAGGGTCTTTCTAGTGTGGAAACACGTCCCGGTAGTGCTTCAAATCTAACATTTCACCGTAGCACGCTTTCCTGTCTACTTCCTAGACACGCTTTCCCCATCCTCACTTCTTTTGGAGTGAAATCATACTTAAAATCACTCCTGCCTGCTTCTAGTGACAAGACCCAAGAGGTAATGCGGTGGGGACAGTAACAGCAAAACAATGGCCACTAAGAAATATTGATGTTGGATTTAAAGCAAAAAAAAAAAAAAAAAAAACCCTTGAGATTGACTTAAGGCAAAATTTTATTTCACAGAGTGTTTTTAACTTGCTATAGACAGAAAGCTAATTCTGAAAATCAGGCTGTTCAGTTTTTCACTGAGAACAGGGTAGAAATGTGTTTGGGCTTAAGACTTGCATTCAGTGTCCTGGCTAACCAAAGCAAACAGTTTCCTTTACGTGCATTGCAGTGCCACTGGTTTCTTTACCTTACAAGATTAGATTGGCGTGACTGGGAGCATACTTAAGACAGATTGATGTTTAAAACTTCATTTACAATTCAGTTGTCAAAGAACCTACTTTACTAAATCTATAATGTGGCCCTCCTTTAAGGACACTGTCTGCTAGCCAACTTTCTAGAAATAGTTTTTGGGCCAACTACCCATTGGCCCATTTAAATAAAGTTTGATTGCATTTCATTTCAGCATGCCCCCTCCCTTGCACTGAGTGCAACAGTGAGGAGTTGGAAACTACAACCCATTGTAAACCAGTTCTTATTTGCAGGTTTCAAAGTATTTTCTTTACTATTTATGCTGTTTGCCAGTTGAAATTGAATGTGAGTTTATTTAAATGTTCTCTAAGGTGTATACTCAGATGTCATTTCTTGCCTAAAGCATCTAGTAAATGATTGTGTATTACTTTTGCTTTGGTAGGAATGCCTTCTCAGCACCAAGACATCGCTTGTTTCTTAACAACCAGCAGCATTCCTAAAGCACTGAGTAATGAATGAACAGATTTAGATCAAATGAAGCGGGGAACAAGTGAAACCTTTTGGGTTAAAAGTAATTTGTTGATATTTAGTAGATTTGCCTTAAGAGCATTCTGTCTTGCCATTCTCCTTTTTAAATGGGTGTTAACTTTATATAGCAGATAAGGAGGTTGTGTCAAAAACACTGCAAAGACAGTTCTCCAAGAGCAGCAGACCTTGTTTGTCTTAATATTTTGTGGAACTGTCAAGCTAAGTATTTATGCTTCCTAAATAAAAGAAATTTTAGGGTATAATGAGCAATAAATATAGCAATAAGCAGTTTAATTAAATTTGGTCATTCAGGATCTTACCTGGTGGTTGAAAGGGATGGGGTGGGAGAAGAAGGGGAACTGATTCAAGTACATTCATTGCATAAAGCAGACTTTTTCCATGTACAATCCCAATTAAACTTTCTACTAAAGGTAGAAATCAACCAAGTGACAATGGTAGGTGCTTTGCTCTTTTACTTTTACAACTTTGGTTATAGGGATACAATTGATGAAAGTTATAAGAGAGCAAAGTACTTTGGTAGTTTTTGGGTAGTTTAATTATTTTTAAGTGAAAGCAAGCTGCTGTAAGAACTAGAGTAAGCAATGTAGCAAAATTTTGGGGAAGTCCAATATGCTAATTTTACCTAATATTGAGATTTCAGGTGAGCTCTTTGTGCATGCTACCTTAAAAGTATCCATTGAAAATCTTGAGAATCCCACAGTCATACCCAGGAGAGCTTCTATCGTATGTCAAGTTTTAGCTGTATTCAAGTTAACTGGGTATAAAAGCTGCAGAGCATTTGTGAAGCATGCGCTGCTTTTTGTCATGTGCATTTTGTGTGAGCTTATCATTCCCATCAGTCTGTGTATGCATACCATCAAGTGGGATCAACGTGAGGAAGGATAAGGTAATGCACCCTGTGGTGTTGTCTTGTATAGTTTGAGGGCAATGATGAGCAAAAGCTTGGAGCCCCAACCCCCAAAGCAATTGTACTCAAAGGAAAAGGAAAGCATATAATTTTAGATGTATGTTTAAGTTTAAAAAAAAAATGCTGAAAATACTGCACATTGAAACTAAAAGAGAAAATAAAATATAACTATTACTGTAAGTGATTTTTCTCTGGTTATTTAAAAAAAGATCTTGATGCATTCTTACTATAGGTTTTTTCCCCAGTATATCTTCTTTTCAGCATCTATCAAATATGGAGTATTTTAAAAATATGCAAGAATACTTGAACACTCTGCAAATGTAGGTACGCTTCACAATCACAGTGCTGTTTGCAATTAACAAAGAAGTATCACAGTTGAGCTTTTAATTGTATCTAATAGTCATGCTTGCCAAAACTTCTCTAGGATTCTTCATGAGATCAGAAAACCCAAAATTTAAGTGTACAGCTGTATTTGTGAATGAGGGTGTATTTATCTGCAGCAGTCCTGGGGGGGGATAATGTTACACAGGAGAAGAAATGGTTTAACTTGCCTAAGCTTGGTTTCCCAGCTGTTAGGCTTGCATCTTAAAAGAAATTTCTGGGTGGTCCTGCTGCTGAACACCGGAGGATCTCTTGCAGTACTCAACTGCTCAGACACATCTTGTTTTGATTAACTTTGCAGCGCTCGGCTGTTTTCTGGAAGTTCTGGAATAAGCTTTAAAGTAGTAGCTTAATGTAGAAAGCACGTGCTCGTTTCGTTCTCAGTCAAAATAATTTTTTTTACATCTTGTTTTTCCTTGTCAGCATTAGTAGC